GAAGAATAAAGTGGAGGGGATCTCACTCCCCAACTTCGAGCTCTACTACAAAGCCAATTTGTAATCAAGATAATTTGGTACTGGCACAAGAACAGAGCCACAGACCAGTGGAACAGAATAGAGACTCCAGACATTAATCCAAACATATATGGTCAATTAATATATGATAAAGGAGCCATGGACATACAATGGGGAAAATGACAGTCTCTTCAACAGATGGTGCTGGCAAAACTGGACAGCTACATGTAAGAGAATGAAACTGGAACACTGTCTAACCCCATATACAAAAGTAAATTCAAAATGGATCAAAGACCTGAATGTAAGTCATGAAACCATAAAACTCTTAAGAAAAAACATAGGCAAAAATCTCTTGGACATAAACATGAGCAACTTCTTCATGAAAGTATTTCCCAGGGCAATGGTAACAAAGCAAAAATGAACAACTGGGACTACATCAAGCTGAAAAGCTTCTGTACAGCAAAGGACACCATCAATAGAACAAAAAGGTACCCTACAGTATGGGAGAATATATTCATAAATGACAGATCTGATAAAGAGTTGACATTCAAAATATATAAAGAGTTCATGTACCTCAACAAACAAAAAAGCAAATAATCCAATTAAAAAATGGGCAGAGGAGCTGAACAGACAGTTCTCCAACGAAGAAATTCAGATGGCCAACAGACACATGAAAAGATGCTCCACATTGCTAGTTATCAGAGAAATGCAAATTAAAACCACAATGAGATATCATCTCACACCAGTAAGGATCGCCACGATCCAAAAGACAAACAACAAGAAATGTTGGTGAGAATGTGGAGAAAGGGGAACCCTCCTACACTGATGGTGGGAATGTAAGTAGGTTCAACCATTGTGGAAAGCAGTATGGAGGTTCCCAAAAAAAACTCAAAATAGAAATACCATTTGACCCAGGAATTCCACTCCTAGGAATTTACCCTAAGAATGTAGCAGCCCAGTTTGAAAAAGACAGAAGCACCCCTATGTTTATCGCAGCACTATTTACAATAGCCAAGAAATGGAAGCAACCTAAATGTCCACCAGTAGATGAATGGATAAAGAAGAGGTTGTACATATACACAATGGACTACTATTCAGCTATAAGAAGAAAACAAATCCTACCAATTGCAACAACATGGATGGAGCTAGAGGGTATTATGCTCAGTGAAATAAGCCAGGCAGAGAAAGACAAGTACCAAATGATTTCCCTCATATGTGTGGAGTATAAGAACAAAGAAAAACTGAAGGAACAAAACAGCAGCAGAATCACAGAACCCAAGAATGGACTAACAGTTACCAAAGGGCAAGGGACTGGGGAGGATGGGAGGGAAGGGAGGGGAAAAAGAAAAGGGGCCTAACGATTAGCATGTATAATGTGGGGTCGTGGGCATGGGGAGGGCTGTGCAACATAGAGAAGACAAGTAGTGATTCTACAGCATCTTACTACGCTGATGATGGACAGTGACTGATGGGGTTTGTGTGGGGGGGGACTTGGTGAAGGGGGGACCCTAGTGAACATAATGTTCTTCATGTAATTGTAGATTAATGATAACAAAATAATTTTAAAAAAAGAAAGATAAATAAGAATAAACAAAAACAAAACAAAACAAAAAAGATAAAAGGAAGAGGCAAGATGGAGGTCTTCCTGTCACATCACCTGACACTGGTTCCCTGGGGAATGAGGAGACTATTTTGACAAATAAGGACACGTAAACAGGGCAAGTGCACATTACAATGAAAACATGGGCCTTTGTACATTAGGGCGTGCTTTTATACTGGCAGCTATGAAACCATGAAAGATTATTGCCTTCAACTCAGTAAGTTACTCCCAGCATCACCTTTATTATTATTTGTGTTTAACACTTGGGAACTTTGGGTTCCTCCCTTGGGGTTGCCCAGATCCCCTTGGAGCACCTTCTCCTGGACCAAGTCTGCTTGCAGGCTCTGGGGAGCCCAGATACTCTTTCCTGAAATGCCCTCTTGTGCCCAGGTGTCCCATGTGGGAAACAAGTCACTTACTCATTCTGTGCTGTGACAAGTGTGGTGACATTGTCAGGCTGTGGTTTCTTATTTCCATGCACTGACTGGGGCCCAGCCTGGTGTCCATATAAAGTTACCTAGTCAGGGATTCCAACAGACAAATGAGTAGGCTCGGTGAATGCCTCAGCCCACACAGAACTCTCAACGACACACACTTACATCTGGAGGAGCCCCAAAGCTCAAGAGAAGGAAAAGAGATACAACGACTCCCACACCAGCTCCTCAGCCATTGTCCTCCTCCCTGGTAACAGCTGGTCAGTGAGTACGGGGGACCAGCGTCCATGTGTGGTCTCATTTCCACTGGAGTCTCTGGCAGACTTGATGCCATTTATAACACTCAAGGAACTCTGGATTTTACCACCAAGAACAATCTGGAGCTTTATTGCAGCTGGGTACTATGAATTTAATATACCGTTTTATTTCTGAACTTCAACAAAAGGGCAAGCATGGGAAACACTGCCTAATCTTTACCAGGGTCTCTAAGGAGGACAGAAGAGGCCTCTCAGCCATGGCCTTCAGGGCTTGGGGGGTAAAGGCTTGATGCCTTCCTGATTTTTAAAAACTCAAAAGCAGCCCCTCAAAGCACTGAGGGGGCTGAGACTTCATTTCCTGGAGAGGGAGGTGAAGGAGATGAGAAATCTTCTTTAGGGTCTGTTACGGAGGTTTAGGCCACAGTTCTCATTAACAGCAGAAGCTGCAGGACCGGGAAACTGGGGGTGGGTGGGTGGGGAACAAAGCCTTACCTGATGGAAGGCAAGACATAGCCTTGTATGAAGCTGTACATACAGCCCCCACCACGGTTCTACAACATCTGTGATATTGCCCTATTTTTCTGGTTCTATCAACAAAATCTAACGCCCAAAGTTAGCAGCTTAGGATTTCAGAGCTGAAAGATGCTGACTTAGGGCAGGCCTGGTTTGGGCCCTTCTGTGTTGCTGGGAACAAAGAAGGCTTGGCCTCACCACATCCTAAATGGAATACTTCCCACAAAGCTCCAGTTGCTGAAAGAGCTCCCTCCTTTCCACTGACCTAACCCTGCCTCCCACAGCTACCCAGCCCCCACCCCACACTGCCCTCTGCAGCCGCACTGAGGGGGCGAATTCCTCCCCACAGCAGCCTCCAAGTTCAGAGGAACCATCACATGTCCACCTACCCATCCTTGTCATACCTAGCACAGCCAGGACCTGGTTTTTGATACTCAATGAAAAACTTCCTTTTCACAAGTATTGTCTGGTATTATCTACCAGAGCCCAGTGGGAACAGAAAGGCACGATGTCTCAGACAGACTGGGCCACATCTGTTGCCTCAGATCAGGCTAACTTGAAAGACACAAAACATCTTTTTTCCATATCCTCTAGCACTACCTGCTTCACACAAAGCTTTTACTTTAGCATCACAGCACATACAATACAGCAAACTCAAAGGACCTGTGAAATCAGTCTTTGAATAACAGTTACATTTATTCTGCATTTTTTTTAGTGAGAAGTGTCAAACTTTACACATAAGCCCCTACATTTGAAATATATCAGAGGAGAATTTTGAAGAAGAGAAGGAAGGAAAGGAAGGGAAAGGGGAGAGGGGAAAATAGGGGAAAGAAGGGGGAAAGGGGAGAAGAAGAGGGGGTAAGGGGGGAGGAAGACGGGAAGAAGGGGAGAAGGGGGGAGGGAGGAAGTGGGGAAGGGGGGAAGAAAAGCATGAAATACACCCCCTGCCGCCGGCAGCACAGGACTACAGAGCACAGCCCACTAAGAGCAAGGCCCTCAATGGGCCGGGCAAGAGGACCAAAAAAGAGGAGGTGACGGTGGCTTCTGCACAAGGACCCGTGACCCCTCACCCATTCACAGGTTGGGGGAAGGGGGAGAAAGATGTGCTGTGGGGCCGGGGGAGGGCTCAGACTCAATGGGACTCGGGAGGCAGCTGAAGCAGACAGGACAGGCTGAGAGGCGTCCCCAGGCCCTCAGGAGAAACCTCACTGTGCTCTCCTTGGGCAGGGGCTGGGGCACAGGGAACACATGCAGCAGCTGGTGTCTGTCTCAGCAATGACTGGACATGCAGAGTCATCTCTAGAGACTGCTTTATGAGAGGAGATTAAACACTGGCATGTGGGAGACCCCTTCCCCCTCAATAAGAGGAGGTCTGTCAGGGGCCACTGCATGAGCTCTGGCATCTCGGCCTCAAACAAACTGCCCCTAAGACACTGCCACCGCCTCTGTGGCCACAGCATGAGTGAAGGCAAGGCTGGGTGACCTGCAAGCTTTCAGGAGCCAAAGCTATGGCCTAGGGTCGTTCCGTCACCATGGTGGAGGGGCTGGCTTTTGGAGCTGTGAGCTGCAGGGGGCCTTAAGAACAGGCTGTAGCTCAAGAGCAAACCAAAAACCAAAGAAAACCAAACCCAGGACTTGCCTGGAAAGAATTCTTCCAGTTCCTACAAGCCAAGGCAGCCACCGTCTCCCCATTCCCCATCCTCCCCAGCCAGGAACACGGGGTCACATGCAAGGGTGAGGGTCCGCCCCATCACGAGCTTTAAAGGGATGAGCCTTTACACGGAAGAAAACGGCAACTCCGTTCTTACCATACATGCTGTGCTCCAGATGTCCGCGGGTGTACTGTAACCTGCTCCTATTAGAACCTCTATGGATCTGTACTGACGCGTCTGGATATCTTCTGTGAAGTGTTTATGCTGGAAGGGAACAGACTGCATTACCTTGGAGGATCACAGACACTAAAAAAGAAAAAAGCACCATCTAATATGTGAACGTGACCAAAATGTTTTAGAAAGAAAACTCTACTTACCACCCAACAGGCATTTCCCAGGTCAGCAATTTTAACTCTAATTTTATCTGCATTCCGTGGATCCAGGGGATTCACCAGCAAGTCGGCCGCCCGGGTTTTTGCTGGCATGAGCAAACAGGACAGTTAGTGTCGGGGGAAGAGGGGTGCATGGTGCACACGCTGTCGCCAGGCCCAGTCTCCTTGTCTAGAAGCGATGAGATGATCACTTAGGCCTGGAATCCTGTAAACTGAACTCAACAGATTTTAAAATTGATCTTTATTCTGGAAAATTTTCACAGAAGAGAGTGAACGGTCTCCCAATGGATGCCGCCTTGCACTTTCTCCCGTCACCCCTGGTGCCTTTACCTCTGGGTCAGCTCCGCTCTGCTCCTTCCGAATCCCTCCAGCTAACTCTTACTGTGTCAGAGCTCTCTGCCTAAGGGACTACATCCAACTGTGGTGAGTTACCACGTGGAACACCGTGGCAGGGAGAGCGCCACCTGGGCGGCCAATCTCTTCCCAAGTGACGTGCAGTCCATCCCGGCACCCACACCCGACTCCTCCCTCTGCTCGGGCTGTGCAAGGAGACCCCAAGGGTTGGATGACGGGTGACTAACAAAGATTAAAAGCTGAGACTCATCAATTCTGGTTTAGCTTTGGACAAGGAACACGCCAGAACAGAGGTGTCCTGGGACGGCATGAGCCACAGGGCAGACCTGAGGTCCCTCCCAAACTCGTCAAAGCCTCGGGCCACTCTCAACCCCAGGGTGGCACTGAGAGAATCAGCAGGAGGTACAGGGCCAGGCTGCCCACATCTCCTTGCAAGAGCTACTCAGACAAGTCCAGACAGTGCCTGTACCAAGTAGAGGTGACCGGGGACAAGTGATAGGGAAAATTACCTTGGTGAGGCCCAGACAGAAAATCCTGAAGTGAGTCAGCATCTTCCTTAAACCTCAAACTGACCTATAAGCTTGGATTTCTGGAAAGGATGAGATATAACCATGGCTCTCTTTAATTTTAGAAGTAATTCTAAAATGGCATTTACAGACTAAACAGAAAAGCCTGCTCAACGTAGAACCTTAAGCACCGCTCTTGTTCACTCAAAGCTGGGCCCTGCAAAAATGAACCTCCTTTTGGGTATACCGTGCTGTGGAGCCACAGTGCTGGAGAGGGTCCGACTCCTTGGCAGCCCCACACAGGCAGCAAGGCTCACCATTCACAGTGTTCCAACAGACAAGGTGCCCAGGACCTAGGGCACCCACATATCTCCCCAGGAGGGGCCAGGATGTGAAGAGAACTATGGCCATTTTAATTCCATTTCCTTGGGCTTGTGGATCAACCCAGGCCAGCCAGGCTCCTGTGCCATCTTCCCGCTTATCTGTCCTATGCCCACTTACCTCTATAAGGATGCTGAGCCACCGTGGGGACTCGGGGGGCCAGCTCTGAGCAGGGAGAAGAAATGCAGGAACTTGGAAACAAGAAGGAAAGCAGGACAGAGACACACCGAGGAGGTGAATGCACACACTGAGTGGGCAAGGAGCCAGGAAGAGAGTTCCAGGAGGGCTGGACAAATGATGACCCAATCAACAGACACAGCCAGACGCATCCCTCACGTCATTTCATCAGAGTCAGCAGGCAAGAAAATAGAATTTGAGGTTTGTGCACTGGACTCAAATCTGAGTTTCACCACCTATAAGTTAAAAGACCCTGGCAAATGCCTTAAACTTTTTCAGGCTCAGTTTTCAGGAAAGGAGGAAGAGGCAGGGCCCATCCCCCACCCCCCCACCCAAAAAAGACAAATCCAAACACAGGAGAGCCACAGCTACACTGGGGGCTCACCTGGCCTGAGACCAGACTGACCGCCCTGAGGCCAAGGCTTCCAACCAGGCAGAGAAGGGCCAGTCGCAGTCCCACGGGCCCAGCAGGCAGCAAGGGGAGCTGGGTTCCCCGCCCCATACGTGGCAATTCCACCAAGGGCCCACCGGGGCAAGGCTGAAGCTCCGGGCTCTAACAGCCCTGATGGCTGGCAGCTGAGGGCACTCCAGGGGAAGGCACGTGCTGCAATCACCTCCCTCTCCCTGCTGCTCGTTTTCTTTTTTTAGACATTCACAGGAGCTGCACAATTCAATCAGCTGGAGGAAGTACACTTTAAAAGACACATCATCACATATGTTCTGTATGGGTTCTCTGTGTTTCATATCCCTCGCTTAAGTCACTAAACAAAGTCCCTTGGTGATGTGCTGCTGTCCTCCCAGCTCAGGTCTAAATAGTGACCCAGCTTAAAATGCATTCCAATGGCACCAGGGAATTTATCTCAGAAATGGAATTGCATAAGAACACAAGGAAGGTGAAAGAGAGTCTATCTGTATTTCCGACTTTCTGGTCTCAATGTGACAGTTGCCCGTGCCAGGGCACCTGGCTGCCACACTCAAAGAGCCCGCACCACACGAGGCGCTCACGTGTGCTGAGTTATCACACCAATTTTGCTTTGCCCAAGAATCATACGACCTCCTTCGATTAAGTCAATATGATGGAGACCTACCACAGCTCTTCTTTGCTCTCTGTTTCTACCCAGGTAAATAGGAAAAGTGGAAGACAGAGGTGGGAAGATTTCACTTCAGGAAGGCTGGGGCCCTCGAGTCATTTCTGATAAACCAGTCTTTGGGTGACATTGTATGCATTCTGTGTGAAGCTATCCTAGAATCCAGAAAGACAGCAGCTAGCAGGGTCTCAGAGTGACACAAAGCTGTCATCAAGGCTGCTACACAGCACCCTGCTAGGTCCACTCTCTTTTTAAAGTTTAAAACATCCTTACAAGGAAGGCATAAATGTCCTCCCCATGCGCAGAGGCTCAGTACTGGGCCCAGTTCAGACACAGCAGCATGAGGAGATCATTAGATGCCTGGCCCGCTCACCCCTCTCTGTGCCAGGTGCTGACCTGGCACTGGAACTGAATGGACAAACATGCAAAGTTCCCCACCACACCCCAAATTAGGGAACTGATGCATCAACTGGAAATGTGGGTGATAAAGTAAATAAGATGAAGGATTCAGACACCAGGTCAGTTAGCTCTATAAGCATGAAGAAAAACAGCAAAGAATGGAGTGCTGACAAGGGTGTTGAAGACAGATCTTGTTCAAGGAGAGGCCTGAACAAAGGGAAGCATGGACGAGAGAAGCTCTAGGCAGAGAGGGCAAGTGTGATGTGCAGAGAGGCAGAAACAATCTTGTACTTTTGAGAAACTTTGGAAAGCAGCCAATATGGCAGGTGTAAACGAGCAAGAGAAAGAGGGCAAGGACAGGTGCACAGGGCTCATGGGCTAGGCAGCCAGGCCTCCAGGTGCTGCTCTGGTGGAGACGCACTGCAGAGTGCAGGGAGAGGGGGGCTGAGGATGCGCTATACAAAGCTCTCCGCACTGCTCCACCGAGAACAGCCTACGGGACAAGAGTCTGAGCGAGATGAGCTGCGGCCTGTGTTACACAGCTGCGCAAGGGACCCACAGTGGTAGGCCCTGCAGCCAGCAAGCCCACCCCGCTCCAGGTCTGTGTCCCCAGATGGGATGAGCCAAATAACAGTCTGTGGTGCCAGCTGCTAATAATCCAGGAGGAAGCCTGCCGCCTTTCCTCAACTGTCAATAGCGATCAAATCACTCTAGGGGCAAGTTCACACCTAAGTTCTTCCTCAGTCTTCTACAATTCCCTAAAATATATGCTCTGCGGTAACAACAAAGATCCACACAAACTCTGGAAAAGGCTGGTTCTCTTGCTTCATGTTCATGTAGTACCAGGCAGCAATGACCACCAGTCTCTGGGCCATACCCCTTCCACACAGGAAGCCAAACACCTTTCAGGAAGTTGCCTGTGCTTATTAAATGACCAAGCTAGAATCCAGAACTGAAGACCTCCACACAAATGACTAGGTAAGGATATCCTGTCCCTCATATGTCCCTAGAATTTAAAAATATTGAAAAAGTCCTCTTGGTAAGAAACTTGGATCAATGGGGAAAAAAAGCAGAGTAACAGGGTACTAGGGGTAGAATGTGTGCTGGACAGAGTAAAAGTCTGAATTCAGAAGGGGGGAGAAAGGGAAGAGGAGAAGGAATATAACCAAATACGACTGATTCATTTGTTCATTATTCAATAAATGTTAATCACAACACCTAGTTAGATACCGAGGATACAAAAACAAAAACACACAGCACTCTCAAGGAGTTTACATCCCAACGAGAAGGAAGATAATGGAAGTGAACAGTGACCATACAGTTAAGAGTATGAACAGTAGTAACAGGCCTGCAGGGCCCATGGGGAGGACTGTGCTCTGAGCTGCCACCTAACGAAAGGAGGAAAGCTTGCCGAAAGGATGGACAAGGCATAACAGGAAGTAGCATCCCATGCAGGGGGAAAAGCATAAGCAAAGGAACAGAAGTGTGAGGCAGTGTGCCATGTTCACACAGACGCTCTCCATTATGTCTTACACATAAGCTAGGAAGAGGCTAGGCTACACATGGGATTGCTAAAGCTAATTTTTCTCATTGTTTACACCATCAGCAAAAAATATTTGAACACTCACCTCAATACATGCATATATAAATTTTGCATACTCCTGTTTCCACATATTACGTACATTTACAAAATGTAAAAAAAAAAAATTTATAACAAAACCCAGTTGGAGACATGGGCAAATCCAGCATGGGGTGGGGAAATTACGGACCTGGTTCTAGAAAGCAAGGAAGTGCTTGAAGAATTATGGGGTTGGGTCAAAAGGGCATCAGAGCCAACTCCAGGAGGCTCTCAGACCAGATCTGGGACAATTCTGGCACCAAAAAAAAAAGTTGTAAATGATTATAACACATAATTAAATGTGTTAATTAAAAAGAAAAAGAACCCACGAGTCTACGAGATGACAGGGTGTGTGCGATGACATGGGGAAGGAGCACCGGGAGAGAGCAGCAGCTCCGGGTTGCGGGCACCTGCCCCTGCCCCGTCCCATGCCACTCTTCCATCAGCTGCTCCCGAGTTACATCCTTTCATAACCCAATAATCTATCAAGTAAACTGTCTTCCTGAGTTCTGTGCACAGCTCTAACAAGTAATGGAACCCAGGGACGTGGTCATGGGAACCTCCAATTTATAGCCAATGGGTCAGAGGCACAGGGGACAATGTGGACCTGCCACTGGCATGTGAGGTGGGGCAGTCTTGCGGTCCTGAGCCCTTAACCTATGGGATCTGGTATCTGCAGGTAGCATCAGAACTGAATTAAACTGCAAGACCCCTTGTTGGTATCAGAGGCTTGGTGTGGTGGTGTGGGGAAGCCCCCCTACAAACACGGCTGGTGACAAGGGGTGTTAGAAGTGGTGTGGTAGTAATGTGACAGTAAAGGAGACACACAGTCACTGCTGAGACACCAGCTGCTGCATGTGTTCCCTGTGTCCCAGCCCATGCCCAAGGAGACACACAGTGGTGCATTTTTCCTTAGATGAACATGCATTCCATGTGAAAGCATTGTAGAAGCACCTTCAAACAGTGTCTGGTTAAGGCAAACGTAGAGAGGAAAGACATGTCAGCCCAAGGGAAGAAACCCACATCCTTAGGACAATCAGTTACAGTCGATGAGGAAGACAGCTCTGCAGGTTCCCCACCTGCCTGAATGAAAGGGCTATTTGCAGGGCTCACTCATCAATTGCCCAGCCATGTGTTAAAACACTCTTGTCAGTAGAGGGAGCAGAGGAGGTTTCTGAGCTTTTCCACTGGAGGACAGAACAGAAACCAACTGCGATGCCCAGTCTGCTTACTGAGGTCCCTTAGCATGTCACAGGCAGAGATAGGTCGTGTGGCATTCACTCTCGAAGTAAAATGACAAAAGTCATCACCAGATCTAAAGCCATGCTATACTTCCTTTAAAAAATTCCAACAGTGAAGTCTGATCATCAGGAACATCTATCAATATGACACTTCTTCCTCAATATAGACAAAGAGTAGGCATGTTTTTTTCCTTGAACAGAAAATTAAACAAAACCCAAAAACTAAATATAAAACTATCGGATGGAAGTAGAAATTATAAATTAAACCATGCATTCTAGAAAGCTGCAGGTGTAAGCTGCTAAACTTGAAAGGTTTTTGCAAATGTATAATGTTACTAGGTAAACACAAGACAAATGAGAAAAGCTCAGAAATGCGATCTGATATGCAGACAGCCTAGTGGCACAGAATATATTTTAAATTAATTACTTATTCATGAGTACAAAGGAGGTAAAATGTAAACAGTTAATGCACACATACACAGCTTTACCACCTCCAGCCAATTCCCTTCACAGCAATTGTCAAAGGCATGACACCCAGGCCATGGAAAGCAGACCCTCGAAGGGGAGGGACACTTACTTTTTGGCAAATCCCCAGTGCTGGAGGCTGAAACTGTCCTGCTTCTGTCGTGGGATGGACTGCTTTCCTCATGCTCGGTAAGTGGGGATCCTTCGGAAAGTGCAGAGCCACAAGCCACAGGTTCTAAGGGCCCAGAGAACAACGATGTGGAAAATTCTGGAAACTGTGACTCAGGAATTTTATGTCGTCCGTTTGGCAATTCACCATTGAATTGTTCATAGGAGCTGCTGTATGTGTAATCACTTTCTGCATTTGGCTCCTCAGGGTTATAATCCTCAGGATTCAGGCAATCTTCCTCCTCATCGTCTTCGTCATCCAACTGCGGTTCCAGCAGGAACGGGCCATTCTCAATGTGGCCGTTGGTTCTGGGTGATTCTACCCACGTAGGGTCTATGTTTGCCAGCTCCTGTTCAACATCGTCTTCATCTTTCTCAATGCTTTCCTTCTCGGCATCTTCTTTCTCTTCTTGGTCCTCAGCTTCACCTTAAGAAGCCAACAGGTTAAGAATTAGAACTTGATACTCTCCTTAACACAGTGGCAGTAGATACTCATATCTCCTCCAACAGGAGACATTTCTGAATGTGCTTCATTTACATACTTGAAGGCAAACACCTCTTTGGCTCTCATGGTAAAATCTTCTGGTTTTCTAAATATTTTTTTCTCATTTATTAAATAACTGGCCTACTCTTATTAGAAAAAGTTAGTTTGGAGCAGAAATGGAGTTCCACTTCTACCCTGTCCTCTACAATCTTCAGACAAGGTGTGTTAGCACACTACTGTTAGGGAAGAGGTTGATTACAGAATAAAGGACAATCATTAGCATAATACAGACATGGTGCTTCTCAGACATTTTCCATTTTTTTAAAAACTATTTTGAAATACTAACATACTTCTGGGATACAGTTTACAACAAAGGAACAAACAGGTAGTTCCCCACAGTCCCCAGTAAGGAGCTGGGGAGAATCACCCTCACATCTGAGGCAGCAGCACAAGTCAACATGCACAGTGACCTTCAGGTCCCTGCTAATGAAGCTCCTGGGACCCCACAGGCCCTGTCTCCAGACCTCACTGACCATCACCACTTGCAGGCTCCCCACCAGCTGCATCCTCCAAGCCTGCTGTTTGCAGCTCCACCTCTGGGCAGGACTCATCATCTTGCTCACTGGATGGTACAGCTGATGGGACATTTTCTTCTATTATTTTCCTTTCAGCTTCTCGCTCCAATTCTTCTATTTCCTGCAGGCGCTTTTCCAGTAACTCAGCCTGCCTTTTCTGCTTCTTTTTCAGTTTCTTCTTTTTGTTTTTAGATATTTTTCCTATCTACAACATGTTAAAGAAATACCACAGGTCAGCTTGCTTCCTTTTAAAGCACTACATGATAGTATAAGAGCCAGTGGCATCACAAGTACCAACAAATTCTGGGTTTTTTTTCAGGCTGTATTCATTAAAAACACATGCCCAGACATGAGATCCACCTCATGGTTAAGATTACAAGAAAACTAGAAAAAAGAAACCAGTGTTGTCTAATATCCAGTAACAGGACCACCACCAGGTCCCGCCCTCAGAGGGATATAGCTTAAATCCAAGAAGTCTTTTTCATTTCTAGTTCAAGTTCACCTCAAGTTCACTCTCAGAAGAACTGAGCATGTGGAAATACTCTTGCCTTAAACAAGAAATACCTCTTTCAAGTTTTATTTGCTGTTGCCCTCACAGAAACTACCAATGTCCTCCCTCCTTATTGTCTTAACCAACTGTCTGCCAAAAATGAAGTGTCTGCCAAAACAGGTGTCTTTCATTTACTGTTGGTCAACACCACTGTTTGTGTTTGGTCTCACATACTGAGCTGTTTTCAACAGACAAGACTACATACACTGTAAGAAATGAGCACATGAAGGAAAAAAAGAAAAAGCCACTGTTTCTGACTGCCTCCATTCATGGCCATTTGACTTGGAAAGTTCTGGCAATGACAGCCTCCGTCTTTCACAGAATCAATAATCAAAACCAGCTGCTCAAGCCACAGTAGAACTGTGGGAAATGACTCGGCTCCTCAGCAGGCCAGGCGGCACAATTATTACAGGGACTTGTACAGGGACTTCTGTTCCAAACTGAAAGCTCTTGGCAGCACTCTGAATTTCTGGACATTTCCCTTCAAATGCTTTTGGCTCATAAAACTCTAAAAACCCTTAAAAAGTGACCTATCAACTCAAGATATTTATATATTTTTTCTATCTTCTACTGGAATCAAGCCAGGGTTAGGTCTGTTGGGGTAGGATTTAATTCCAAGCAGCTTATTTCACTGGACTGGACTTAGTGTTTTGACAGAACCACAAAATAAATAATACTCTTTTCATATTTAATTACCGGCTAGGAAAAAATTAAAACAACAACTTCAGAGAAACAGGTAACTTGGAGGCAAATCAGAAAGAATGTTAAATGTTTTTGGAATCATCACACTTCACATCCTCTCTCTATCACCTCACATTTCACTAGGCTCAGCCAATAGTGCTCTAGAAAGTGCACGAGGAAAATGAAGATCAAACTTGGAACAGTTCTAATTATTTCAACTCTAAAAATCACTGCACCTTAACAAAAGAGTAAATCTTGTAAGTCAAGGATACCCAGCATTTATAAACATGCCTGTCTTTTACATTAATATACATTAGAACATAAGCAATCGCAAAACCAAAAAAAGTACATCAGATTCCCCCAAACTTATTTGAAAGACTGTTGCAAAAATAAATATAAACTAATGTTACAATTTGAAAACCTCAATGACGAACAGTGACTTATAACACAAAGGAGAACATAAGTGTGTAAGTACTTACAGGTTTTTGCTGTGGAGCGGTACTCACTAAAACAAAAGGAAATTAAACACACGTTCAGAGGAAAATAGATACATATCTGTATATAGATAATCTGAATTGCAAAATGAAATAAATACTTCCTTTTAATGGCTATCCAACTTCAAAAACTGTTAAATATCAGAGCTCTTAATCATAGAAATCTAAAGAAAGTTCATCCAACTCATACAAATCATTGGTTCTTAAAAGGCACAGCAAAAGTTGTTCAAATGGAGCCATTTCTCTTGTTTATCCAAAATTAAATACCCATTCATTTCAAAAACAGTCAATGCCAAAGCACCAACTGGTAACTTAAGAAAATGGAGAAGAGCTGTTAAATATTCCAGTCATCTAACCAAATTCAACTAAAGTAAATCAAGTACTACAGCAAATGGTCTAGCAATCACATGACCAGACTTTGCATCAAACTGCTTGATAGACTGTGGTTCCACAGTCTCAAGAGTATCCTGATGCTGGACCAGCTTTGGAGGTGGGGCACCTCCCAAGAACCAGGTCAGTCACAGGCCTTTAGCCCTTCCACCTGCCTGCTTGCCTGACCACAAAGGAGGGCACAAAATAACGTGGAGGGAGGGAAAAGCACAGTCAACACCTCACTGTTGCATCACACTGTGAAAACCAAAAATAAACCTGTTTATGCCAATAGACATGTGGGAGAAGACCCCAGGTCGCTTGGTCTTCTCCCACCCTTGGGTCCTCTGTGACAGATTCTGGATGCATCAGTTAGACTCCAACTGATGTAGCTACGCTAACCAAGAAGCACTCTAACAAACCTGGAACCAGAAAACAATTCTGCTGACTACAGCTCAGCTCTGTGAAACCTGTTACTACATCCCCTTTTGCAGGGAAGTGAGCAACAGGGTAATCTTCAAATGTAGATGAAGCAGCAGTTAAGAATTTAAATGAACTTTTAAAGGAGGACAAAGTTAAGTAACTCAAATAGTAAAGCATAATTTAATTGGGGCATCTTCCTTCTCAAGAAAAAGGTCTAATTATTTCTAGCCATGAAGCTCTTACGAAAGTTCCCAATATATACATTTTTTACTCAAGTGCCCTCAATGTGCAACTTTGCAGGCTCTCTCAATGTCCCCAGAGAGACAGAAACAAAGCTGGCTCAACTCTCTCACCTGCAGACCCCGAAGGAGGAGGAGCACCTGCTTTCTGCCACTCAGTGGCCTCGGCTGCCATTCTTCTCACATATGCATCATCCACACACATCAAGATGTTTTCTGGCTTTATGTCAGTATGAATGATCTTGCACTTACTGTGTAGATAATCTAACCCCTGAAGGACCTGGTCATAGTAAAATCAAGAGAGATGAGTTATTGATACCCTTTTTGTTCAAAATTTACTTGTAAAGTATAATATAATCACAAGGTACAAAATACAAGAGACACAAAGGGTATTTAATAAAAGTCTCCTCCTGTCCTGGCCCCCATAGCAACCCAGGTCCTCCCCACAGGCAACCAAAATGTATCATTCTGGAGATAGTTTATACTCATGGAAGCAAACGAATCTAAGCATGTAATTTTTTCTGTAACAACTTTATTGAGATGTAACTTACATGCCATACAATTCACCCTTTTAAGTGTACAATTCATGGTTTTTAGATACACAACAATCACCACTATCTAATTTAGAACATTTTCATCATCCAAAATGGAAACACCAAACCAGGTGAGTTCACTCCCGGTCTCCTCCCCAAACTTCCAGCCCTAGGCAGCCAATAATCTACTTTCTCCATAGATTTGCTGGTTTGCAACATTTTATAAAAATGTTAGCATACAAAGTGGTCTTTAACTGGCATGTTTCCAAGGTACACCTGAATACAACATGTAACTGTACTTCATTGGAACAAATAATGTTCCACTGGATATGCCACATTTTGCTTAGCCATTCACTTGGGAGACATCTGGGTTGTTTATACTTTGTGGCTATTATAAATAATATTGCTATGAACATTCATGTACATGTTTTTGTGTGGATGTAAGTTTTCATTTTTCTTGCATATATACCTAGGAAAGGACAACTGTTAGATCATACAGTAAACTCTATGTTTAGCCTTTTGATGAACTGTCAAACTGTTTTGATACAAGGCTGCACAATTTTACTTTTCCACTAGCAGTATAAAAGGGTTCCAATTTCTTCATCGCGGCCAGCACTTGTTTTCTGATGTCTTTATTTTCATCACCCTAGTGGGTGCGAGGTGTGTAATCTCACTGATCTGTATTTCCACGATACCTAATGATGTGTATACATTTTTAATATTGCAGGAGAGGATTAAAAAGCCTTGATATTCAGGCAACAGAGTACAGCAATGAACCAAAAGAAACTGAACCAAAATATTCATGTACTTGTCACATATGTTCTAAAAAATTAAACCCACGAAACTAACACAGTACAATGACCTAAAGGGAAGGCCAAAGTTTTTCTGGAATTAGTTCAACTCCTTCCATAAACAATAAATATTTTAAAAATATAGATCACACTCCCATACATTTGAAATCCTACATGTTCAACAAATACTAGCATTTAGTAAGTATCACTTAAGCATGCTTAAGTCACTTAGGGGTCCTGTCCACATCAGACAAAGAAGTGAGGAAAAGGCAAGCAGAAGATATAGAATGTCACTCAGCTCTGGAAGGTTATCAGCAAAAACCCAACGCTCCTGTCTACCTTGAGTATCGGGCTAAACAACCTTAGAAGACCAAAACATTAGGAAGTGAGGGCACAGAGGTTTCAGAAGGGAAATGAAAACAGGAAAACCTGTCTCTTAATAGGCAAAATAACCCTCTCTTAACACTTAAAATAACCTTTTGTAGCAAGTATTTGCAATTGCCTTCACTGGCCAAGCAACAGCCAAGCTCCTCTAACAGGCCATGCACTAATCCAGGTGTCAGATATATCAGCAAAGTATCAAGCAAATATATTATAACAAAAAAGTAAAGTTATGGGGCTTATAAGTCCTTGTGTCCTCAGAGAGCTTACTGTCTCATGCCAGGAGGAGGAAAGAATTAGCCAAAAAGAAACCAAGATGGACTACAGGCACCATAAACACAATTTAACAAGATGTTGCTGTGTTCCTAGTAAGAACCAGTAAAACAGACAAAACTAGGGTAGAGAAGTAGACTTTTGATGTTAAATCTTAGAATAGTTAATTTAGACACTACTAAAGTTTAGACACTACTAAAATCAGAACATATTTAAATTATGTTTAAAATGTCAAAGGATCATAGTAAGTAAGATACTATACATTTCCACAAAGAATATGGTGATCATCACAACAGGAACACAATCCAATGGGCCTATAAGTCATTCACTGACATTCATGCATCTTCTTTGTGCAAACTGAAATATGCAGAATTTTTATATCTGAAAAACAGGGTTCTGAGAAGTCCAAAAATCATTA